GGATTGTCTGTGGCTACGGGGATTAGTGACACTTGAGTTCACTAATCCTGGTGTCAGCGCGGGGTCTGTTTTCCCACCCTCACAGGCTTCTGGCTCTGGGACTTCCGTCCCAATCCAGATTTCCCAGTGCAGGGTTTCCCAGGGGGTTTTCCTCCAAGGGTTTGGGGCTTCAGGCCAGGAGTCCGGTTTCCGGTCTCCCTTTCCCCCGGGCTCAGGGAGTAGGGGTGCCTGCGGGCACTTATTCCTGGGTCTCCCAGGCCAACCTGCGGATGGTTTTGGGTACCAACAGTTACTCAGCAGTTACGGGCTTAGCCTGTACATGTCTGGGTTTCCACCTGGTGGGAGTGGCGGTTCATCCTGGTCCTTTGGACAGGATGTCCAGCCCCAGACTCAGGCAGGCCATCTTGGCCAGTTCTGGGGTCACTCCCGGCCCGCTGGACCGTTCCCATTCCCTCAGGGGTTTGGGTTTTTACCCCATGGGTCTTCACTCGTGGAACCCATAGGGGTTGGTCTCTCCTCTAGGAGATGTTATAGCAGTGCGGAATCCCCCCAATGTTCTGCTACTTCGGGGGCCTTGTTGGCCGGTCCTATAAAGGTTTGCCAGACCTTAAGGACTTCCGCCTCCAGCGCGGACCCGTCGGTCTCCTGTTCCCAGGGGTCGGCTTCGGGTCTCCGACCCAAGCCTACAGCTACAGCTGTTGGTCGCGCTGCGTCCAAATGCCATAAAGAGGAGTTCCCCTCTGCGGAGATGGCTCCTCTGGTGGCCCCTGTTCCTCCCAAGGGGACTTCGGTCTCTATTGAGGAGGAGATGGACATCGAGGGTGCGGGCTCGGCAGAGGAAGACGATGTCATTCATCTTTCTCCTGGGCCAAGAGGGTTCACAAGGGGAAGATGGCCCTGAGACTGCTGAAGCTGAGGCTCAGCATGTGCTTTCTGGGATGCGGGTCCTCCGGGCCAACATCTCCCGGATTCTCAGGGCGGAGGTTTGCCCACCGCCTCAGCATCGTCGGCGCCTGAATCCACCATCCTTCTGGGTTCCCTGGTGGCTCCTCGGGCTTCCGTTCGCTCAGATCGGTCTCTGCCAGAAGGCAATATCATGTCTTCGGTTCTGGCCACGGCCCGGGCTCCGGTTTTAGAGAAGGACTCCTTCTCTACCCGTGCTCTCGGGTTTGTCGGTCTGCAGCTCAGTGTTGGTGAATTGTCGGAGGCTTCAGCTTCCGACTATGCCACACATGATGGGCAGCTGGCCTCTCAACCAGCACAGCTGGAGTTGAGACAGCTGGCTGCCTGGCCCGGCAAATCAGTGGACCAGGTGGTGCTCGATCCCAAAGAGCACCACAGGATGGAGAGAATGTTGCACCTCTCCATCGAAGTTCTGTCATACATAGACTTCCTGACAGTTTGTCTATACAGGGTATCCGATTTGCCTGAGTGTCGGTTATCCGAGACAGAACAGCCGACATACAGGACACGGCAACCTTGCAGGTTCTCTGCTCGTCAATGCCGTGTTGGCTAGGCAGTTTTCAGTTCTGAAATTCCGCCCAGTCCAGTAACCCTACCGTTTCCGCTTGTTGAATGCCCCCTTCTAGGGCTCTACCCTGTTCAGGGGAGCTCTTCCTTGGGTTCAGAAGGATATGAAGGAGGACTCGGTCGCCTCAGCACTTCTGGTGAAGAGGTTTCAGGCTGAGAAGGCCAGTGCCTCGCAGGGGTCAGTGCCTCCTAAGAAGAAGGCGAAGTCTTCGGCTGCTCAGTTTTCTGCACAGCCCAAGTCCCAACCTCACTTCAACGGCAACAAGGGGAAGGGTAGGAAGGGTAAGAAACCTCCTGGGGGCAAGAAGAAGGGTTCCTGACTATTTCTGCTTCTTGGCCGCGAAAGGCGAAGGGTATGGCCGGGTGGACGGTGGTTCTCCTTTCCCGGGCTCATGTCCTTCTCCTGCAGGCTCAGGCTCCGGGTGGGCAGACGATTCTCTGGTCTGGCAGGGGCTCGATCTGCCCCATCCGGAACTCCCTGTGGGCGGACGTCTCTCTGCTTTCCTTTCCTAGTGGCAGGATATTACAGAGGACGCTTGGGCTTTTGTCGGTGGTCAGGGAGGGTCTAGGTATTCCCCTTCTTCAGGATTCGTCCCTCGCCTCCTGGCCGTTTTTGTTTCTTTCCTCCTCCCGGGGATTCAGAAAGGGCACGGGTGCTCCAGGAGGAAGTAGGGACCATGCTGCCAAGGCAGAGATGCCCTTGGGGCTCACGACAGCTCCTTTGGTGTTCACCAAGTTGCTGCTGGTGTTTCCTTCACTCCTGCAGAATAGACGTCCACATCTATTTCGACGACTCCCTCATGCCTCTTTTGGTGTGGGAATCGTTAGTGAAGGACACTCGTCTGGTCCTGAAACTCTTGCTCAGAGTCGGCTTCATTCCTTCCAGAGAGAAGTCAGAGGTTCCTTCATATTAGGACTTCTTCTTCCTGGGGAACCATTTTGACATGGTTCGGGGCTTAGCCCTTCCACCTCTGGAGAAGTTTGAGAAGGTCAGGGCTCTGGCTCTGACTTTCATCACTTGGTCGCTTGTCCAGGTACATTGGTTCCTCAGTTTTCTGGGGTATCTCAACTCCTTGGCATATGTGGTCCCCCTAGGGAGGATTCACATCGGACCTCTCCAGATGTTCCTCCTGTCTGACTGGGTTCCGTCATCCAGGAGGCCTGGATCCCACTTACCCAGTCGGTCAGGGAGTTCTCTTGCTGGTGGACCATTCAGGAGAACGTTTTCCACGGGGTACCTCTGACCAAGCCTATCCCCTCTATGATCCTGTTCATGGACGCGTTCATGACAGGAATGTGAGCTTACCTCGATGGGGGAGTGGTCTGGCGAATAACTCTCGGAGCACATCAGTGTACTCGAGATGAGACTGTTCATTTGGCTCTGCAGTCCTTTAGGGGTATCCTGCAGTCCAAAGTGTGGCTACCGACAACAGTTGTCGCGTATCTGGAGAGACAGGGGCCACCAGGTCTCATGTCCTGTGTGCCCTCTCCATCAACATCCATCTTCTCTGCCAGGACATGCAGTTGACCATAGCGGTCAAGCATCTTTCTGGCAGGCTGAGTGTGTTGGTGGCCACTCTCCAGGCGCCACCAGCCGGTGTTGACGGAATGGCAGCTGTGTCCCTTGATTTTCAAGGGGAATTGTCAGGCGTGGGACAGACCTATTATAGACCTGTTTGCCACTTCCCTGAACAACCAGCTGCTAACCTTCGTCTCCCCGGTCCCAGACCGTAAGGCGTGGGCTGTGGACGCCCTTTCTCTGGAATAGGAAGGGACGTATGCATATGCATTCCCTCCCTTCAACCTGGTGGGCAGGGTTCTACATAAGTTCTGGGAGCATCACTGCTCCTTACTTCTGAGAGCCCCTCTGTGGCCGAGGCAAGCTTGGTTTCAGGAGCTCTTGTCGTTTCTGGTGGAGGAGCCCTTGGCTCTCCCCACCAGACCGAATCTCCTTCGCCAGCCTTGGCCCAGAACGACACACTCTTGACCAGAGATCCTCCACCTTCACGCGCTGAGGCTATCTCTGGAAGCCACGCCAAGGCAGGCTTTTCTCAAGAGTTGTCAGATTGCATTGAGCAATCAATCAGGGCTTCCTCTTCTGCCGTCTACCAGTCACGTTGGATGATCTTCTGTGATTGGTGTGTCGGCAAGGAAGCTTATTCATTCGAAGCCTCTGCATTTGATTGCGGAATTCCTAATCTCTCTGTTTAGGTACCGCTATCTGCCACCTGGCACTATTGCTGGCTATCGTACAGCTATTGCCAGAGTTCTTGCTTGTTATGGCAGGAAGGAGATCGGTTAGTCCTCCTCTCTTTCTGCCCTAATCAGAGGCTTTGCTATGAATAGAGTTGTTTTTAGCGAAGAATCAGGTTCCGGGGTTCTCGCACGATCCCATCAGGATCCTGGCTGTGACTAGCTCGGAGGAGCGAGATAGGTTGCTTTGTCCTTGTCGGGCTCTTAGGTTTTATCTTGATAAAACCAGGGGGGGGCGGGGCTCTCGATCCCGTCTGTTTTGCCCATTAAACAGGGGCAACGAGATATCTCCTCCCAGTCGGTTTCCAGGTGGGTTTGCCAGGTGATGTAGTATGCTTACGAGCATTTTGATGATCTGGCTCGGGCGAGAGTGAAAGCGCAGTCTCACGAGGTCAGGGCCCTTGCTTCATCCTGGGCCCTTCTCTCAATGAGTCCTCCTTTCAGGAGGTCATGTCTGCAGTATTCTGGCAGGGCAGGGATACCTTAACAGATTTTTATCTGTGATCCCTAGCTTCCCACTCATAAGGCCTGTATTCATTGGGACCTTTGGTGGTGGCATAGTCAGTGGCTGGGCCTCCTCGTTAGCCCCGGGCCATGTCTTTCCGTACGGCGGCATGTGGGTACACCTGCTCTTTCACAGAGAGGTCCCTTCCTTCACTTTAGCACTCTGTTCTCCCTCCCTACTACTTTGGTTGTGCTGAAGGGGCTGCCTGGCTTCTAGTCACCACTACGGTAAGACGAATTCGCATACTAAAGTTATGGTAATTATTACTGAAATGAAATTGAGGTTTTTTAATGTAAAACCAATTTTCATGATGTAATACTTACCATAACTTTATGGAGTCCCACCCTATCCTCCCCTCTTCCTTATCTGCCTGGCTGCTCCTCTGTGGGGTTTACGCCATAAAGGTTATTAGAGGAAGGGAGATCACTCTGCGTTCCTGCCGTGATGGCTCATGGATCGTAGGGAGGGCGGGATTGTTTTTCTTTTGAATCTTTTGTTGTTGGGATACAAAGATGGGGGTGTAGGTACTGTATTTGCATACTAAAGTTATGGTAAGTATTACATCATGAAAATTGGTTTTACATTAAAAAACCTCAAATTAAAATATATTGTGCCAATGCATATGTAGTGGTTCTTCACAAGTCAAATCGATATCAGGATTTTCTTCATTCAAAAGATCAGTTTATTGATAAATTGGAGGCTCAATTTGTACCTCTGTTCCATAGTTTCCATGGCGACATCATCAACATCATCCTGAACAATTATGCTCGGTCTCATCCCATAATCCACCTCTCCATCTACAAAATAGATGATGTACATCATTAAGTATGATCATTAATCAAGAGTTATCTCCCTTCTGTAACAGGAGGATAGGAAATATAACAAGAGGCCCATGGGCCTTAACGGTCATCTGACAAAAAGCAAGCCAAACCTAGAAAGTGGGTTGAGGTCATTCATTTGAACAAACTTGGTAGCCTCTCCTCCAAGCATCTTACAGGCCCAATATCAGCACTCATGGACTTTTGCTTGTTGAGAAGAAGTCGTTTGTATATTTTAACATATTTGACCCCTGTGACCTTGAAAGTGGGTTGAGGTCATTCATTTGAATAAACTTGGTAGCCTTTCCTCCCAGCATGCTACAGACCCAATATCGGCACTCATAGACTTTTGCTTATTGAGATGAAGTCCTTTGTATATTTTAACATATTTGACCCCTGTGACCTTGAGTGGGCCAAGGTCATTCATTTGAACAAACTTTGTAGGGCTCCATGCCAGCATGCTATGGGCCAAGTATTAGCCCCCTAGGCCTTCTATATTTGAGAAAAGTTATTTAAAGATTTTGACATATTTGACCCCTGTGACCTTGAAAGTTGTTCAAGGTCATTCATTTAAACAAACTTGATAGCCCTTCATCCCAGCATGCCACAGGCACAATATCAGCAATCTGAGCCTTTTGGTTATTGAGAAGAAGTTGTTTAAAGATTTTAACATATTTGACCCCTGTGACCTTTAAAGTGGGTCAAGGTCATTCATTTGAACAAACTTGGTAGTCCTTCATCCCAGCATGTCACAGGCCCAATATCTACACTCTGAGCCTTTTGGTTAATGAGAAGAAGTTGTTTAAAGATTTTAACATATTTGACCCCTGTGACCTTTAAAGCGGGTCAAGGTCATTCATTTGAACAAACTTGGTAGAGCTCCATGCCAGTATCCTCTGTGCCAAGTATTAGCCCCCTAGACCTTCTAGTATTTGAGAAGAAGTCGTTTGAATGAAAAGTTTACGGACGGCGCACGGCGCACGGCGGACGGCGCACGGCGCACGGCGGACGACGACGGACGAAGCATGATGACTATAGGTCATCGGACCCTTCGGGTCCAGATGACCTAAAAATACATCATTCTGAACCAAGAGTCTATATTGTAGGATGCTAAAATCTTCTCTCGATAAGAACCATCCTGCTAAGGTTCAGTTGACAATAAGACATTATTCTATTCATTTTCCTATAGGAAAAGGTGACAGCTGATCTACTGATTCTTAATCGAAGTCAGGGAGTAGACGTCTTGCAGATTACAGGACAGGTGTAGGTGTATTACAGGACAGCAAGTAGGTGTATGACAGGACAGGAAGTAGGTGTATTACAGGTCAGAGGGTAGGTGTATTACAGGACAGGAAGTAGGTGTATAACAGGTCAGGGAGAAGGTGTATTACAGGTCAGGGAGTAGGTGTATTACAGGTCAGGGAGTAGGTGTATTACAGGACAGGGAGTGGGTGTATTACAGGTCAGGGAGTAGGTGTATGACAGGACAGGAAGTAGGTGTATTACAGGTCAGGGAGTAGGTGTATGACAGGACAGGAAGTAGGTGTATTACAGGTCAGAGGGTAGGTGTATTACAGGACAGGAAGTAGGTGTATAACAGGTCAGGGAGAAGGTGTATTACAGGTCAGGGAGTAGGTGTATTACAGGTCAGGGAGTAGGTGTATTACAGGTCAGAGGGTAGGTGTATTACAAGACAGGAAGTAGGTGTATAACAGGTCAGGGAGAAGGTGTATTACAGGTCAGGGAGTAGGTGTATTACAGGACAGGGAGTGGGTGTATTACAGGTCAGGGAGTAGGTGTATTACAGGTCAGAGAGAGTAGGTGTATTACAGGACAGGCAGTAGGTGTATTACAGGTCAGGGAGTAGGTGTATTACAGGACAGGGAGTAGGTGTATTACAGGACAAGGAGTAGGTGTATTACAGGTCAGGGAGTAGGTGTATTACAGGACAGGGAGTAGGTGTATTACAGGACAGGAAGTAGGTGTATTACAGGTCAGAGAGAGTAGGTGTATTACAGGACACGGAGTAGGTGTAATACAGGACAAAGAGTAGGTATATTACAGGTCAGGGAGTGGGTGTATTACAGGACAGGCAGTAGGTGTATTAAAGGAAAGGGAGTGGGTGTATTACAGGACAGGCAGTAGGTGTATTAAAGGAAAGGGAGTGGGTGTATTACAGGACAGGCAGTAGGTGTATTAAAGGACAGGGAGTAGACGTATTACAGGACAGCAAAATAATGTCATTGAGCTTTCTGTCATGTTATTCGATTTCTGTAAACTTTGCAATATTGCCACAAATTCAGATGGATGGTAAAATGTTATTAGATAACAGTATAGTATATTCTGTTTCACGAAAGTAAATTGCTGCCAACTTGTGGTGCGGATCAAAACCACAAATGTTTTACAATATTTTAGAATTTTACTAAACAGCAATGTACAGACGTGAGGTTTACAATACGAGACATGGGCTTATTGCTTAAAAAATAGGGTATACTTACTGCATTGCAAATTGGATTTTTTAACTCAAATTGTCACCAATCAATATACAATATTTCACACAAGAATTTTCAGTGACATACATTTTTGTTTCGAGATAATTAGCTAAAACTGAATGACATCATACCTATAGAACAAAGTACAAATTTCTAAAGATTTCAGCTTTAAAATCACGAAGAAGAAGTAACCATTGACTAAAGTGTCAACATAAACTATTTACTTGTTTAAATAACGATATGCATGACTTAAATATCAAAGACGAATGATTTGCAGTATCGTTACAATATCCTTACATGAAAATTAAAATGTCAACATTTATAGTTTAACTACGTAAGTATTTGACCTATTGACGCAAGCAAAGATAATGTACAATAGACGCATACAACATAACACAAAATAAAAACAAATTTTATATATCCCTCCAGGCTTAAAGCTTTCACTTACAACGTATATAGAGACCTAGACGGCTATTTGTAGTATTTATGGTTCAATGACTATCACTTAGAACTCATATGAATCAATTCCAGCAGATCTGTCAATGATCTTAAAATCACTTTCGGCTCTTTATCTACAATCAAATCTGGCACGTTTCATATATATTTACATATAATAACATGTTGCGAAATTTTCTAGATTTTGGCTTACTTTTGCCGTTGTAATTTTTGTTCATTAAAACTTTGAATTATTTGTTCATTTATCTATTTATTTATTTATTTATTTATTTACATCCACTTTTATGGTCTTTTGGCCTCAGTTGACGAGCTACCACCTTTAATTACATATCACTTATATACTGTACCCTATATAGGTGTTATAAGATATTTTAACGTACATCCTGTCTGTTATATTGCATCATGTAACAAATTTGTTTAAATTCTAACTTTCATAACAACAACAAGATACAGATTAATATTCCATTCAAAATACTGGTTTTCTCTGGGACTCCCTAATTTTATGACTATACCAGTCCTCAAGGACTGAAATCACATATGATATTGAGTAAAACTGTTTTTATGAATTTTGAGGGTCTTTTGTCAATTCAACTAATTAAGCAGAATGCAGGTTTTCAAGAGTTGAAGAAAAGCCTGATCATTATGAGAAAACATTTGAGCTCAGTTTGAGAGGACAGTAGGAGATATTGGGAAGTTAGCTTGAGAGGACAGTAGGAGATATTGGGAAGTTAGCTTGAGAGGACGATAGGAGATATTGGGAAGTCAGTTTGAGAGGACAGTAGGAGATATTGGGAAGTTAGCTTGAGAGGACGGTAGGAGATATTGGGAAGTCAGTTTGAGAGGACAGTAGGAGATATTGGGAAGTTAGCTTGAGAGGACGGTAGGAGATATTGGGAAGTCAGTTTGAGAGGACAGTAGGAGATATTGGGAAGTCAGTTTAAGAGGATGGTAGATAATACTTGTTACTACATATACATGTAAACAAGGTCCTCTTCATCGTTTGTTGTTAAGGATATGAATTGTAAAACCCTTAACTCTGACTTGATCCTCATTGTGAGACAGAGTATGTAATATACAGTTACTAACTGAGAACTAGATGAGCTAAACATATAGCTGACATGCATGTGAACTCTTGACGGAAACTTAACACTTTCACTCTATTGTCAAAGCAAGACAACACAGCTTTATAAATTATGTGTCCATACAAATCTTTATAAATTGAAATTCAATATTTGCCATTTCTCAAGCTTGACCAACACAACAGGAAGTTCTGATCCTGTAATCAAAGTGATAATACTTACCTGTGTGGTGCCATGTATCCGGCATTCTCTCATGAAAACTTCGACCTTCACTATGTACAGTGATTTTATTTCTTATTAATTTGTACTTTAAACAGCACATAGACACATTATATATACACATTTACATCAACTGAATGTCTTTAATATCGGAGCACTATTTATAGATGATCAATTACTGTATTTGTCCTGTGACCCATTTTTAAAATAAACTGGTCTATTCTACAAAATCACCAGGCATGGACCCCTAACAGGATAAATATGGGGTACAATTAATAACAAGCTTATAGTAATTAGACACTATAATAATGAAAACTTAAACCTACATTATATACATGTCATTCAAGGATATGGATCTGATGATTAACAGGAAATAAATCAGACAAAAAATGAATATAGTTTCCAAACTTATACACCGGTCTGTTTAATAAATCACAAAAAAATATTGTAGCAGTAGATTAACTGTTAGTCCTGTCATCATTTCATTAAATCTACAAATAAATAGGAGGATGTAAGAAACAGGAAACTGTCAAATAAATAATCAACACCTTACTCACAATGCTTAATTCTTTTGTTTAGAGATTTTATAACCAGACTTTAATTCAAATTTCAAGTTAATTTACTGTTTTAATAAGTAGTGTCTCGTAGAATGTGAGGTCTAGAATTTCTCATGTCGGAACACTTTTGTGTACTGGTGAATTTCTGTCAGTCTTCCACATCCTGTCTCACTTGTCCTATATATTGTAATATATCTATAACATACTCTTAATTCAAACATCAAATTAATTTATAAACTAGAATTATGTCAGTCTGACTTTGGCAGCTTTTATCATGTATAAGAATTAATCTTTCAACTAAAAATATAAACATGTTCAATTTTAACTTCAAATAAACTTACTGTTTAAAAGAATGAACTTTTGTATGTTGTACAACATACAAAAATTCTATTTTTAGCAAACTTTTGCTGTGTCTGGTCTACTATGTACATCATCTAGCAGTGTGACAATCCTTGTATTTACACTACGTACATATCTTTGTTCAAATTATTCTGTAGTTTCTTAAAATCTTCTAAAATATATTTTAAAATTCAGATTGTTATGATAGAATTTAAAATTTTCTTTGTATTCATGTCGGGCCTGACGTAATAAATAAATTATCTTTACATTGTTATTGCGCAAAACAGTAAAATCACTTGTATTAAGAAACCACAAACTTCCTCGGAAACATAATCATTGTAGGATTATTTAAAATCAAGTGTGGACAGAAAAAGTCGATATAAGATTTGAAGGTGTCAAATAAAGAAAAAGCCTATGGTTATAATTTAAAACATATGCAAATGTTTTGCAGCAAACATTGAAGAAAGCCAGTAAAATTGTGTAGATTTTTAATGTATTGCTTTTAAAAAAAAACAAAAATTACTGCCCAATGAAATTTAATCACAGTACACTACTGTATACAGCAGCTGCTACCTTTAATGATTTTAGTGTCACAACAACTTTGTGAAGATCAAATTTCAGAAAAACTGACTATATCATACAGTAATAGATTATCATCATTGTGTTAATTTTTGTGGTGTTTAATTTTTGCCTATTTGTGTCCATACTGAAATACAAGATTTCACAACAGAGACCCTTGTCATCCTTTAAATATTTTTATGTGGTTTGGTGTAGGACATATTAGGTCATTCCTGATCTGAAGACAAGACAACTAAACAATGTAAACATAAAACTCTTCTTACACTCAAAACAGATAATAAAGGTCAAGTGTGGTCAAGTTTCTTTAAAAGATTACCTGTTTGACTTCTGATAAGTCCAGGCATTGTATCAGAGGGTTGTAGCTCTTCAGTGTTGGAGGTACAAAGTGATTCCTCTGTTTCTAAGGTAACACAGACCTCCCTGACATTGCCTTGCTGTTCCTGTAAATGTCCACATGAAGATGTATCATTGCCCGCCCCATTCTGACGTGAAATGTCGTTCACCATTAGTTCAAGTCTATCCGAATATTCTGTGACATTTGCACATGATGTACTAGCAGTTGTGCTTATTAAAACCTGTTCCTGATCACCATGGTTACCAGATTGTTCCAGAATCTGTTTCACCTCTGGATTGGAGATGTTTGCTTCACAACAATTGTTCACAAACCTGCCATGTTTTCCGCGGTGAACTGGAGAGAATATGTTTAATGATGAGGTATTTAACCTCTTACGACAGGATTCTACTTTAGATCGGATATAATCTTTACTTTTATTAAACACTTCCTTGGCTTTGTTCTTCGTGTTACTTTTCCGTTTACTCGGCGACAAGTGGATATCCCCCGGATCTGGTAGATTATCTTCTTTCACGCAAAAATCAAACTGATCGTCCCAAATCTCAACAAATTCCGCAGATTTGGAAAAATTGACCGATTTCAAAATAGGACATGCATTAACAGGTCCCCTGTCACTTTGACTACTTTTCACACTATGGTTGCTATGGTAACTGATACTGAAACATTCCCCTTCCTCCTTGTACCACTGGTCAAGGCCTCCCTCTTCATCCCAGCCAGCGTCAGTCCATTTTGTGGGACTTGTCTCCCTTGACCACTTAGGTGATGACTGTCGAATTCCTTCACCTGCAATCATTCAATTAAAGCACTGCTAGAATTTTCAAACATCATTTTTTTCTCAAAGAAACTGAAATATTCTAAAGACAATATCATGATTAAAATTGCCTGAAAGAATGTGATTCAACTTGATAAAAATTACATTCAGGTGTATTTTTCATATGCTTAAAACATTACTTATTTCAGGATATGACAGAATATAAAAACTTAGCTCTGATTTAAATTATCAATAGATTATGTGACTGTTTACTTACATATAGTGTACGGGCAAAAAAAATAAGACTGTGACTTTTTTAAAAGATTAAAAGAAACTTAATTAGTAAGAAAATCCAAGGCAAATATCTTATATCTGATTTCATACCTGGAATTAGTGAAGAATTCCAGCGATCATCACACTGCCTACCATATATATACATAGAGGTGAGAGGTCAACATAATTATATATGTACAAGATGTTAATTTCTGCATATATTGATTACTATATTTAATATAAAGGTTACTTAGATTGGTTATTTACATAATCCCACATTAAATCATTTTCTCAGAAAGTATTGATGGATTATTTGCTATAAATACATACATGTATTAAGCTGCACATCACTTATAGAAGTGTTTATATAGACATGCACATATAGTTCCTATCCATTAAATTCAATTTCAATTCAATTTTATTTCCAATTCAATTTTATTTCCAATTCAATTTCATTATCATCAAAGCATTTCATGCATACCATATTCAAATGCAGCCTTCCTGCATTTTGATCAGTGTACACCACTTGTATGTGTGTGACTTATAACTACACATTACATATATATATATATATACAGTGTATACCACCTGTATGTGTGTGTGACTATATAACTACACATTACATATAGATATACATTAATCAAAACACTGGGTAACTGTATTTCATTCTAGAAAGTTGATGAGCTGAAAATTAAAGTTCAAAGCTCAATAAAGAGCATGAAGTAGGAACATACTGGCCTAATGACAAAACACACCTGAGACATTGAACAGGAAAATGAACTGTATTCCCACAAATGACCTTGTAAGGTATATCAAATGCTTCCATGTACGAGTATTAATCAAAATGTCTTAAAAGCTCCACTCTCTGACTGGACATTTATGAATTCAGCTCCACTCTCTGGCTGGACATCCATGAATTCAGCTCCACTCTCTGACTGGACATCCATGAATTCAGCTCCACTCTCTGACTGGACATTTATGAATTCTAATTTGTTTTGTTTCTAAGCATCAATAGTGATAATAAAAATTTCTGCCAATGACATGGAGCGCCAGAAGACTGTTGTAAATATTTGAACGTGATGATTAGGATTATTTGATATTGTTAAAAATCTAGCCCACGGTGACAGATTAAAAATGTATAATGTGCTACAATACATATATATATAACACATAAATCATCGCCAGTGATTAGCCTTGTACGTGAAATCTTTAAGGTTATCACAAGTTTTATTTACAAAAAAAATATTACACATAAAAAAGGATACTTTATATTAAGTTATGCAACCTACCTTCATCTGAGTCCCAAGTCTTATTTGGTTGTCATTGAAATGAATAATATACAATACTAGTGTAGTGTATAATATATACCACGTCTTAACACTGTGGTAAATAACCTTCAACTTTGAAGGCAGTAAATCAATCCTGTCTATACACATACTGATCCATAAGTCTAGAAACTGTAACAATTTTGTGTACTTACTTATCTTTGTGACAGTATGTCAGTCTAGGTGGAATTGACTTGGCTTTAATCAGGATGAATAAACATCTTTTATAATACCGTTTTTAAGAACAAACTTATACAAGCTATGCATGTTGTCTATAATCCCTTTGTACCAGAAAGTTTTTTAATCATTTTCTCTGCTTTGTCTTTTCTTCTTATTTTGAAGACTTTTGATCCCGCTGGGTAAAATTTTACCCGACTGGTCAGATAAGTTTTGTGGAGACATAAACAACAGCAAAAACTTTGTTGAAAGTCTATTCCTTTATATTGATATTAAAAATAATAAAAAATCATTAATATAGTTTCCTTGATATTAAAAATAATCAAAAGTTATTAATATAGTTACCTTACTCAGTGTATGAACTGAGCTGTTCCACCTGTTCGATTTACACCTGCCAGGGCGTGGGTACAGGCATAAATCTAATACATCAATGGCAGTGTAAACATACCCCTACACAGAACTCTACCATTGCTGACACTATATAAGTCACAGCTAGACATACAAAACCACACTAATCCAGATCTTACTATATTATAACCTTTCTATAACATAGATATAAAGAGGTACAGAGGACTTTTGAAACCAGTCAACAGTGCTAAAGATATATACTATACAGGTAAATAAAATATTCCTATTCTTTATCTCTAATCATCATTACCTGCTGTGTGTGAGGGCTGCTCAAACTGGGCTAAACTTGTATAAGATTACCACATAATTATGATGATCTTGAGTATTAAAAATAAGGTACGAGATTGGTGTTGTATTGTACAGCAGGAAAATTACCACTGTCCTCACTTCCATGGCACTGATATATCCAGGTGTTGAAAATTTCGTGGGAATATGAAATACAAAAGAATTTTTTTACCTGTATAAAGGATTAAGGTGTGATATCATATCAGGTAAAAATTGACGAGAAAGTTTGATCTTATCCCTCTATCACAGATGACATATGATGTATCTCCCAGGTAATGAATATATAATGTATAACATGTAACACAGGGACTTGATATACATGTATTTCAGGGGCAATACTGAGGTAACACAGGGGCCTGATATACATGTATTTCTGGGGCAATACAGAGGTAACACAGGAACCTGATAGACATATATTTCAGGGGCAATACTGAGGTAACACAGGGGCCTGATATACATGTATTTCTGGGGCAATACAAAGGTACCACAGGGGCCTGATATACATGTATTTCAGGGGCAATACAGAGGTATCACAGGGGCCTGATATACATGTATTTCAGGGGCAATACTGAGGTAACACAGGGGCCTGATATACATGTATTTCAGGGGCAATACAGATGAACAAAGGGGCCTGATATACATGTATTTCAGGGACAATACATATGTAACACAGGGGCCTGGTATACATGTATTTCTGGGGCAATACAGATGAACACAGGGGCATGATGTACATGTATTTCAGGGGCAATACTGAGGTAACACAGGGGCCTGCTATACATGTATTTCAGGGGCAATACAGATGAACACAGGGGCCTGATATACATGTATTTCAGGGACAATACATATGTAACACAGGGGCCTGGTATACATGTATTTCTGGGGCAATACAGATGAACACAGGGGCATGATGTACATGTATCAGATCCAAGAAAGAGACAAATATATCTCCCTACCAAAAAATAACACAGGGGCCTGATACCAGATCTTAGAAGCAAATAAGGAAATGGGATCTGACATAACCACTACCTCATAATTTATCTTCTGTGACAGACTGTGTATTGGAATTATCTGTTCTGTTTATCAAATATAGACCTTCTGACCTTGAATGACCTTTAATTCTTCCTCATATTATTACTTCTACTGTTTCTAAAGAAATCCCCATTGTTGTTATTATTTCCAATACAAATAAAGGAAATTGTTGTTTCAACTCAGTGCATCATATGTGAACAGCTAGGGTTATATCCAGGCTGCATAATGGCTACCTATCTGAACCACACGATTTGAAAGTCAGCCGCATGATACATGTAAACAGCCAAGGTCGTATTGAGGCTGCATGGTGGCTACCTCACTGTACAACATAATCAGAAATCCAGCTGAATGACATATATGTCACTTAAATCAGGTATGCTAAAATACACATCTCATAAATAATTTAAACTTCATTGAAATATTTAGGTATGCTGCAAACAATTATTCAAGTATAGCTCAGAAAAATGTCTGACCTGAATTTTATCTGAAATGAAACATATATTATAACTTAAAGACCTATTTTCACGTTTGAGATCTTCACAAGACAAATGTCATTCTTACTGGAATTAAAAGTTCAAATAAAATTTTGTTGAATTTGAAATTAAGTATTTACTTTGAAACCCTGAAGTGTTTCAACATATTTAAAATTACAATTAGTTTACATAAATAATTACACCGTAGGTAATTATTTATATATATAAGTACTGCATAACATTCCATTGTCCATCATTAAAGTCCATTGTGTATACAAACCATGTGTTGTATAGTTTTAATTACCTAATTATCTCTTGAACTCCTGTAAGGAATGTCACAGAGATAACCCGCACGTATCAAATCCCTGTACTTTGATTTTAATTTAAAACATCTTGACTACTTTTGAAAATATCTCATGAGGATCAATATTTT